TCACACCTCTAGAATGGGGAAGTGTGGCCAGGAAAGCAGTGACTCTGAAAGGGTTTTCGGGGCCATAGTGGAGAAGCCAGTCAACATGAGCTCCCAGTGTGATGTTGTGGTGGACAGGGCTAAAGGCATGATGAGACGTAGGAGCAGAGCCGTGAGCAGGATAGCGAGGTGACACAGCATCAGTAAGCCTTGGTCTACCCGAGGAGTTGAGGTCGAATTTAGCAGTGTTAAATCGATTTAAACTTGCACTTGTCCACACGACGAAGCCCTTTTTTTCGACTTAAAGGGCTCTTAAAATCAATTTCCTTACTCCACCCCCGACAAGGGGATTAGCGCTGAAATCGGCCTTGCTGGGTCAAATTTGTGGTCCTGTGGACACAATTAGACAGTATTGCCCTTCGTGAGGTATCCCAGAGTGCTCCATTGTGACCGTTCTGGACAGCACTCTCAACTCAGATGCACTGGCCAGGTAGACAGGAAAAGGCCCGCGAAGTTTTGAATTTCAATTTCCAGTTTGGCCAGCGTGGCAAGCCGCAGGTGACCATGCAGAGCTCATCAGCAGAGGTGACCATGCAGAACTCATCAGCAGAGGTGACCATGATGGAGTCCCAGAATCGCAGAAGAGCTCCAGCATGGACCGAACAGGAGGTACGGGATCTGATCACTGTATGGGGAGAGGAATCCGTGCTATCAGAACTACGTTCCAGTTTTTGAAATGCCAAAACATTTTTCAAATTCTCCCAGGGCATGAATGACAGAGGCCATGACAGGGACCTGAAGCAGTGCCGCGTGAAACTTAAGGAGCTGAGGCAAGCTTACCAGAAAACCAGAGAGGCAAACGGCCGCTCCAGGTCAGAGCCCATAACATGCTGCTTCTATGATGAGCTGCATGCCATTTTAGGGGGTTCAGCCACCACTACCCTAGCTGTGTTGTTTGACTCCTTCAATGGAGATGGAGGCAACACGGAAGCAGGTTTTGGGGATGAAGAAGATGATGATGATGAGGTTGTAAATAGCTCACAGCAAGCAAGCGGAGAAACCAGTTTTCCCGACAGTTAGGAACTGTTTCTCACCCTGGAGCTGGACCTAGTACCCCCCCAAACCCACCCAAGGCTGCCTCCCGGACCTACCAGGCAGAGAAGGGAACACTGGTGAGTGTACCTTTTAAAATACTATGCATGGTTTAAAAGCAAGGATGTTGAATGAAAAATTTGCCCTGGCATTCGCGGCTCTCCTGGATGTACTCCCAAAGCCTTTGCAAAAGGTTTCTGGGGAGGGCAGCCTTATTCCATCCACCATGGTAGGACACTTTACCACTCCAAGCCAGTAGCACGTACTCAGGAATCATTGTAGAACAAAGCATTGCAGTGTATGTTTGCTGGCGTTCAAACAACATCCGTTCTTTATCTCTCTGTGTTATCCTAAGAAGAGTGATCTTATTCATGGTCACCTGGTTGAAATAGGGTGCTTTTCTTAAGGGGACATTCAGAGGTGCCCATTCCTGCTGGGCTGTTTGCCTGTGGCTGAACGAAATGTTCCCCACTGTTAGCCACGCGCTGCGGGGAGGCAAAATGCGACCTTGTAACGAAAGCACATGTGCTATGTATATAATGTTAACAGTAAGGTTTACCGTGAAAGAGTGTACCCATTGTTCTATAAAATGTGTCTTTTTAAATACCACTGTCCCTTTTTTTTTCCCCACCAGCTGCATGTGCTTCAAGGATCACAGGATCTTCTCCTTCCCAGAAGCTAGCGAAGATTAGAAGGCGAAAAAAACGCACTGACGATGAAATGTTCTGTGAGCTCATGCTGTCCTCCCACACTGATGGAGCACAGACGAATGCGTGGAGGCAGACAATGTCAGAGTGCAGGAAAGCACAAAATGACCGGGAAGAGAGGTGGCGGGCTGAGGAGAGTAAGTGGCGGGCTGAAGAGAGGGCTGAAGCTGAAAGGTGGCGGCAGCGTGATGAGAGGAGGCAGGATTCAATGCTGAGGCTGCTGGAGGATCAAACTAATATGCTCCAGCATATGGTTGAGCTGCAGGAAAGACAGCAGGAGCACAGACTGCCGCTACAGCCCCTGTGTAACCAACCGCCCTCCTCCCCAAGTTCCATAGCCTCTAAGAACGCGGTGGGGGACCTCACCGGCGGTGGGGGACCTGCAGCGTCAGGACATCAGCTCTGCAGGGGAGGGGTGGGTGTGGCATTGAGATCACAAAGGACTTTTGCAGGAGCTCAGCCTATTGGTCAAAGGTGATGGGGAGGTGGTGACCTCACAGAGAGATGCTAACATCAGGCAGGCAGGACAGGGGTGTAGGGCCAGGGGAACGTCAAGAGATCCCTGTGGCTTTGCTTCAGGAAGTCTCCTTCTCGAGTTTTCTCTTTGAGGACTGAGAGAGTATTAGGGTTCACGTACATGAGCACGAGGAGGAACCTCTTTGAAGTTTTCTCCTTTCCTTTTACAGATTTTACGAGAAAACAGATGTCCCTGTTGAGAAGGTAAGAGCCTCTGAGAGGTTTGGAACCTGTTCAATCTGATCCATCTGGTGCCAGGTGAATTCTAGGCATGGAAAACCCTAGTTTAAGGTGGCAGAATTTTATTCCCCACCTAGGATTTTGTCCCTTAGAATCACTGGGGACATTAGGGTTTGTCCTTTGGGTGGTTTTACCTTTTCCTCCATCCCTCCATCCTTTCTCTTCATCTCTTACTTCTTTTGTCCTTTCCCCAGGTCCCCATCCCACCACCAGGAGAGGGGTGTGTGTTTGTGTCCCCCGGGGGGTGCTCTGCAACTTCCATTGTGGGATGTCCACCCAAAAATGTGGGTCTGAAATAGTGCTCGGAAAGTGATCCCCACCGGTGACCGGGGCCATCCTTTGGGCTCTCTGGTGAGAAATCGCAGCCTCCCGCCCTTCAGCCTTTACCCCGATTGGCTGAGGTGGACCTTTATATGGGGAATGTTTTCCTAGGAGAAGTCTGGACTCCTGGATTCTGTTCCTTCTGTATCCTGGGTTGGGAGTGTGGCCTGGAATGGCAGGAGGCAGCTGCTTGTTCAAAGTGACCAATGGTCTTTGTGACTGACCCCAGTGCTGGAAAAGGAGGAGACTCATCTGCTCCCAGAGTCCAGGAGGAGACTCATCTGCTCCCAGCGTTCCCCCATGTCATCCCTGGTGCAGGTATTGCTGCAACAGGGATGACATGGGGGAACGCTGGGAGCAGATGATGCAATGAACTCCTGGCAGTGTATGTAGATTGCACTCCCTGCACCCCTGTGTCTAGCTGGCTTGCTTCCCAGAATGAACCCTCATTGACAGCAGCAGGACATTAGCTGTGGAGGGGAGGGGTGGGTGTGGCAGTGAGATCACAAAGGCCTTTTGCAGGAGCTCAGCCTGTTGGTCAAAGGTGATGGGGAGGTGGTGACCTCACAGAGGGATGCTGACATCATCCAGACAGGACAGGGGCACAGGGCCAGGGAAACGTCAAGAGATCCCCGTGGCTTTGCTTCAGCAAGATTCCTACTCAAGGTCTCTCTTTGAGGACTGAGAGAGTATTAGGGTTTACATTCGTGAGCGCGAGGAGAAATCCCCTTGGAGTTTCCTCCTTTCCTTTTACAGATTTTACGAGAAAACAGATGTTCCTGTTGAGAAGGTAAGAGCCTCTGAGAGGTTTGTAACCTGTTCATTCTGATCCATCTGGTGCCAGCTGAAATCTAGGCATGGAAAACACTAGTTTAAGGTGGCAGAATTTTATTCCCCACCTAGGATTTTGTCCCTTAGAATCACTGGGGAGATTAGGGTGTGTCCTTTTGGTTTTACCTTTTCCTCCATCCCTCCCTCCTTTCTCTTCATCTCTTACTTCTTTTGTCCTTACCTCTGTTCCCCATCCCACCACCAGGAGAGGGGTATGTGTATGTGTGTGTCCGGGGGTGCTCTGCAGTTCCCATTGTGGGATGTTCCCCAAAAATGTGGGACTGAAATAGTGCTCGGACATTGATCCCCACCGGTGACCGGGGCCATCCTTTGTGCTCTCTGGTGAGAACCCACAGCCTCCCGCCCCTCTCCCCTGATTGGCTGAGCAGGGGATTACTGACAGGGAGTTGACTCAGGTCCTTGTTGGTCTCTTCTAAGACCAAGTAAATAAGACCTAACCAGTCGTATGGTTGACAAATTTTGCTGCTTCTCTGCATTAATTGTCTCTGAGCAGTTCATGATTCTCTCTAACATTCCAGTTCTTCTAAAATACTTTGTGAATAATTACTTTGAACTGTGGTTGTTCATTTGAGAACACTTTATTCAGGTCTCAGAGTAACAGCCATGTTAGTCTGTATTCGCAAAAAGAAAAGGAGTACTTGTGGCACCTTAGAGACGAACCAATTTATTTGAGCGTAAACTTTCGTGAGCTACAGCTGACTTCATCGGATGCTGTAACTCACGAAAACTTATGCTCAAGTAAATTGGTTAGTCTCTAAGGTGCCACAAGTACTCCTTTTCTTTATTCAGGTCATTCAATGTATGAAATTCAAGATGCAATGGTTAGTCTGAAAGTCTGGACTCTTGGGTCCTATTCCCAACTCTGCCACTGACTGGCTGTGTGACCTAAGACAAGTCAATTCTCCTTTCTCAGTCTTTGCTTCTCCCTCTTTCAAGTAGGGATAACAATCCGCTCCTACCTACCTCACGGTGCGGGGAGGATGGGGATCCATTGGAGAGTATCACTTGGAGCAGGAGATAATAAGAGGTGTCCTATCACGTTTACTCAGATCAGATTATGACCTAATCGAAGAGCTGAAATATTCTATTTGATTTGTATTTTATTATTTTGAAATTGTTAAGAGCAGCAGTCTCCAGGAAAGTGTGTAAAGTGCTGGGATGTCAGGATCTGGGAGGCGCTGTCTCCCCTGCACTAGGGCAGTGTTCTGCACCCTCTGCTGCTGGCTGAGTTACTCCGTCCCTTGGCAATAAGACAGACTCTTTCTTCACAGCCAGTCGATCATCCAGTGTCACCACCCTGCCTGCTGGCTCGGCAGGGTAATTCCTCAGGTCACCACAGTTTCCAGGCTGCCTTGGGCTTGGAGAATGAGGAGGTGGGAGAGCAACAGCTTGCAACCCTGAACATCCACCATGCATCGCTTTATCACCTAGAGCAAGTGAGTGGCATTAGGGTTCCTCTGTGGCATCCCCCGTCTGTCTGGGAAGAGGCAGAAAGAGGGGGAGAGAATCTCTCCGAAAGGAGATCGGATTTGCAAAGCGACCCCAGGAGTCCCTCGCTTTCAGTCAGGGGAGGGGCTTCTCCAGAGCCATCTCCAGTACGTTTGGAAAGGTCCCAGTAATGGGGCTCCCAGCCCTTCCCTTGTGGGAGACTGTTCCGAAGGCTGAGAGTCTCTGAACTGGGCTAGACCCTGTGAGCTGCTGAGCATGACATCAGTGGGAAACAAGGAGAGCCTGGCCTTGCTATGCCTAGGGACTTTGACGTGGGGAATGGTTTCCCAGGAGAAATCTGGACTCCTGGATTCTGTTCCTTCTCTAGCCTGGAGCGGGAGTGTGGCTTGGGACAGCAGGAGGGAGCTGCTTGTCCAAAGTGACAGGTGGTCTTTGTGACTGACCCCAGTGCTGGAAAAGGAGGAGACTCCCCGGGTATTGCTGCACCAGGGATGACGAGGGGGAACGTTGGGAGCAGATGATGCAATGACCTCCTGGCAGTGTGTGTAGATTGCACTGCCTGCACCCCTGTGTGGGGAGGAGGAGCTGCTCTGTCAGGGACAGGGATGGGGAGGGACCAAACAGGGCGGTTAGTGAGAGGCTGCCTTGGGCCCAGACTCACGGCTGCTCCTCGCTCGGTTCCATTCTGGCCAGGCTCCTGAGGATGTTGAGAAAGAAGGCTCTGCAGGTGGCCTCAGAGCCTGAGGGAAGCAGCTGCCATCTTCCCCAGGAGCAGAGCGGTCCCTTTGTCCCCTCTGGCGGGGAAGGAGTTCCCGGCCGAGCCAGGAGGTGGAAGCGCCCAGCCTTCTGGCGGAGGAAACCCGCTCCCAGCGCAGGCACCGAGGTGGGAGGGGTACCAGCCAGGCCGAAATGGAGCTGTCCCAGGATGCGGCTGGTGAGGCAGGACCCAACCCAGGAGGGGAGCCGGGCAGGGTGGCCCTGGGGCTTGTTGTGTGGGAAGCACGGGCCCCAGCATCCCAGCCCTGATTCCCAGCAGGAGGCATCGCCCTGCCCAGTCACTGAGGACCTTCCAGCCTCCCGAAGGCAGGAGGTGGAGGAACCCTGTCCAAGCACCAGCAGCTCGGCCCGCTCCCCATGGGACAGCAGCAGCGCCGGGGCCTGAGGCAGCAGCCAGGCCGAGGTGCGCCGCTGCTTTGTTCCAGGTGAGGAACCAGGCTGGGCTCAGGGAGGGGTGAGGAGGGGGCTGTGAACACCCTGGGCCCATGCACTCGACCAGTGCTGTGGGGACGGGTCCCCAGCCCATGTGTCTGGCTTGAGCCACATGAACCCCACTGATACTAGATGCTTCCACTTTGGTCCTTGATGCTCCAGGTGGGGGCAGGTGAGTCCAGGACACTGTGGGGGAGGGAGGGTCTCTTTGCTCTGGGCTCCTGAAGGAGTTGGGGGCTGAAGGCATCACTGAGAGGGGGAAGTGTGGGTCCTGAAGTGCCCTGGGTCCCGCAGGTGGGAAGGAGGCACATTGCCGCACCATGCCCCTGTCCTTTCCTCGTGTTGCAGCAGGAGTCACCCTGTCCCCTTCTCTCCCTGGTGCAGGGACCTCCAGGGACTTAGAGGACGAGGAGGAGGTAGCCGTGGACATGGCCATGAGGAGGCTGCTCTCAGGAACATCCGAGAGCAGTTCCAAGGCCGAGAAAAGGTAGAAACCTTTCCCAGCTGTGCTGGAACTGAGATTGTCCTGCCCCTTCCCAGCACCCTGACCCCCTGCAGAGCTCTAACAGCTCTAACAGGGACTTTTCTCCACTATGATCGTGGACCCCCTAAATAGGGGTGTTTGTCACAGACCAGCCAGAGTCTCCTCCCCCAACATGCACTGTCCCAGTTCCTGACCCCGTTTGTGTGGGAGTTGTGGTTGATTTGGACAATGGCTGGGTCCCCACTATCCCCCATTCAGGCCTTAGTCCTGCAGCTGGTGTGGGTGGGGCAGGGAGGTCCCTGGCTCACTGGCTCTCTCTCCCCTAACTCCACTCCTGGTTTGTGCAGGACAAGGCCCAGCAGCTCATGTTCCTGGATGCCATCCACCCCGCGTGACTTGCTACAGGGAAGAGAGCACAGGACACATTGGAGTCGCACTGCTGCAAGGCGGCTGTGGTGGAGAGGACTGTGGTGAGCGAGACACAGCGCCCAGCCGGTGGAGGGAGGACAGAGGCATGGGAGGGGAAGGGGTCCTTTTCTCACTGTGCTGTGGGGTGCAGGTTCTGGGTACTAAGGCTCTGAAGAAGATCTCAAGGAGGAATTTTTAAAATAATTTTTATCAGTGATTTGAGAGCAAACATACAATCCCTGCTGAGAAGACTGGTGGGTGACAAAATACACTGGTGGGTGACTGGTGGGTGGCAAACTGGACCCATTCAAAGCAAAGAAATTTCACCAGAGCCAATTGCAAGGTCCTTTAGCTAACAACAGGGCATGTCGGTCACACCTCCAGAATGGGGAAGTATATCCAGGAAAGCAGTGACTCTGAAAGGGTTTTCGGGGCCATAGTGGAGAAGCCTGTCATCATGAGCTCCCAGTGTGATTCTGTTGTGAAGAGAGCTAAAGCCATCATTAGACGTAGGAGCAGAGCAGTGAGTAGGATAGGGAGGTGACAGATCATGAGTGAGACTGAGATTGGAATACGGCATCCGGTTTTGGTGTCCTCATTTGAAAAAGATGTTGAGACATTGGAGCTGGGGCATCAAAGAGCCACCAAATGTTCTGAGGGCTGGAGAAAAATGGCTTCTAGTGAGCTATTGAAGTGTTGAAGTGCCTTAATGGAGAGAAAATATTGGGTATGAAGGGGCTCGTTAATCAAGCAGAGCACGGCATCACGATACCCAATGGCTGGAAGGTGAAAAGAGAGAAATTCATATTTCAAATAAGGAACAAATATTCAACAGCGAGGATGATTCTCCACAGGAACTAGCTACCAAGGAAAGTGGTGGATTCTCCATCTCTTGATGTCTTTAATGAAGACTAGATGCCTACCTGGAATGTGTTTGCCCCGATAGGAGCTATTGTGGTCTACAGGAGGCCTGTGATATGCAGGGGGTCAGATGAGATGCTCTAATGGCCTCTTCTGACCATACAGTCTCCTAATTTCTGAAAAACTGAGTGTAGCATTGGGAGCAGCCTCTGATGTTTTACTGTCTAGCCGGCTTCCTTCCTGGAATGAACCCTCATTGAGTGGGATGATCCACAGGGTACTAGTAGCTGAAACCTCCAAAGTGTCTGGCCAGAAGCAGGACATTAGCTGTGCAGGGGAGGGGTGGGTGTGGCAGTGAGATCACAAAGGCCTTTTGCAGGAGCTCAGCCTATTGGTCAAAGGTGATGGGGAGGTGGTGACCTCATGGAGAGATGCTAACATCAGCCAGGCAGGACAGGGGTGCAGGTCCAGGGAAACGTCAGAGATCCCCTGTGGCTTTGCTTCAGCAAGTCTCCTTCTCGAGGTCTCTCTTTGAGGACTGAGAGAGTATTAGGGTTCACGTACGTGAGCACGAGAAGGAACCTCTTTGAAGTTTTCTCCTTTCCTTTTACTGATTTTACTAGAAAACATACATCCCTGTTGAGAAGTTAAGAGCCTCTGAGAGGTTTGGAACCTGTTCCATTTGATCCATCTGGTGCCAGCTGAAATCTAGGCATGGAAAACACTAGTTTAAGATGGCAGAATTTTCAGCCAAACACCAAGGATTTTGTCCCTTAGAATCACTGGGGACATTAGGGTTTGTCCTTTGGGTGGTTTTACCTTTCCCTCCATCCCTCTTTCCTTTCTCTTCATCTCTTACTTCTTTTGTCGTTTCCTCTGTTCCCTTCCCACCTCCAGGAGAGGGGTGTGTGTGTGTGTGTGTGTCCTGGGGGGTGCTCTGCAGCTGCCATTGTGGGATGTCCACCCAAAAATGTGGGACTGAAATAGTGCTCGGACAGTGATCCCCACTGGTGACTGGGGCCATCCTTTGTGCTCTCTAGTGAGAACCTGCAGCCTCCCACCCGTCTACCCTTATTGGCTGAGCAGGGGGTTACTGACAGGGAGTTGACTCAGGTCCTTGTTTGGTCTCTTTTAAGACCAAGGAAATAAGTCATAACCAGTCATATGGTTGACAAATTTTGCTGCTTCTCTGCATTAATTGTCTCTGAGCATTTCATGATTCTCTCTAACATTCTAGTTCTCCTAAAATACTTTCTGAATAATTACTATGAACTGTGGTTGGTCATTTGAGAGCACTTTATTCAGGTCATTCAATGTACGAAATTCCAGGTCCGAAGGTTAGTTTGAAAGTCGGGGCTCTTGGGTCCTATTCCCAACTGAGGTCACACAGCCAGTCTGTGGCAAAGAGAAGTCAATTCTCCTTTCTCAGCCTTAGCTTCTCCCTCTTTCAAGTAGGGATAACAATCCGCTCCTACCTAACTCATGGTGGGGGGAAGATGGGGATCCATTGGAGCGTGTCACTCGGAGCAGTGCATAGTATGAGGTGTCCTATCACGTTTACTCTGATCAGATTATGACCTAATCGAAGAGCTGAAATATTCTATTTGATTTGTATTTTATTCTTTTGAAATTGATAAGAGCAGCAGGCTCCAGGAAGGTGTGTAAAGTGCTGGGATGTCAGGAGCTGAGAGGCGCAGTTTCCCCCACCCCCCTGCACTAGGGCAGTGTTCTGCACCCTCTGCTGCTGGCTGAGTTACTCTGTCCCTTGGCAATAAGACAGATTCTTGTTTTCACAGCCAGTCGATCGCCCAGTGTCATCACCCTGCCTGGTGTCTCGGCAGAGTAATTCCTCAGGTCACCACCCTTTCCAGCCTGCCTTGGGCTTGGAGAATGAGGAGGAGGGCGAGCGAAAGCTGGC